GACAACTGGAGCCATTTATGTCTTCCCCTTAATTTCCTATCCTCATAAAAATTTAATACCACACGGAAACTGTGTGCCTGTTCGTGCGCGGTGAATGGTAACCCTGTGAAGTACCACAGACTGCTGTATGTCCACAATGTGCTGTTGCCACAGAGAACCCATCTTCACTCACTTCAGAGCATCACCTCCAGAGGTGATGATAACCCCGGGGTGTTAATGGGCATAATTTTTCCTGCACTGGTCATCTGGATGCTCTGGAGTCTGCCTTCCAAGCAGGAATGGAAAGTAAGCAAGAGCTCTAAGTGCTGGGGTGTTCGGCAAGTGGTCCAAAATGATGACAACACTACAGCAAGGGCTCAGGAGGCTCTGGGGATCATCCAAGGAAAGGCCACCACCCCTTCATGAGATGGGGCTCAACCAGAGATGTTTGTCTGAAAGGTGGTGCTCATCCTCCCAAACAAAGTAACCTGTTCTTTCTTGTGTGTGTTAGGTATTCACGTGTCCATGCACTTAAGTGTGGGGTGAAGGCCAGGGTAGCTGCTGAGTCTGGTTGGCCCCCAAGCTCCAGGGATCTGCCCGTCTTCACCTCCCCAATGTACAGGATTACAGGACTGAATACAGGACTGCACTACTAAGCCCAGCTTTCATATGTGGATTCTGAGGGCTGAGTTTAGGTTCTCATGTTTGCTGTCTAGTTTTTTTTTTTTTTTGGCCACGTGACACCTGGGAAGGGAGAATCTCATTTGAGAAAACATTTCTATCATACTGGCCTGAAGGCAAGTCTGTGGGGGCATTTTCCTGATGAATGATCGCTGTGGGAGGACCAGCCTACTGTGGGTGGTACCACTCCTGGGCAATGGTCCCGAATGATACAAAAGGCAGCCCGTGTAAGTCATAGAAAGCAAGCTAGTAACACTGTATTCCACGGCCTGCCTCCAGGTTCCTGCCCTCACTTTCCTTACACCCAAAAGCTGGAAGATGAAATAAACCCTTCCTCCTCCAAGTTGTTTCAGGTGGTGGGGTTTCTCACAGTAACAGAGAGGAAACTAGGACACCATAGTTGAGCAGCAGATCCGTTACTGAGCTATCTCCTCAGCCCCTTTCTTACTTTTGATCACTCTAGACTCAGTTGTCCAGGCTTCCCACAGCAAGGCTGTGTGGGAGTGAGGTCTGGAAACTGCTTGGTGAAGAACCAAGAGGGCAGGATGGACAGATGAGGACGGGTAAGAAGCCAGTCAGCAGGGACGATGAAAGACCACAGCAGCAATCATCTTACACCAGAAACTCTGCAATTCCCCAGACTCTGGGGAATGGCAGGACGGAGACCAAGAATGGAGCTAAACCCTAAAAGGGATGCCCAGCTGGTGAACAGTGCCAGGGTACCTGTATACTGAATCACCAGGAATGCAACTACAGAGAGAGATGATCTCTAAAGCAGTCAAGCCTGTGCTTGGGTGCTCAGAACCAACCAAGAAATAAAGTCAAGGCATATAAGATAGATAGATACATACAAATGCTGGTCCAGGAATTTGAAAATTAAGAAAGTAAGCACATAAAGTGATGGCTTTCGAGAGGTTCTGTTCTCATGGCTGTGCACACATTAGACCACAGTCCTCCCACCATCATGAAGTACAAACATTTAAGGTGGTCCTTGGGATCTCAGTGGTAGACACCAGCAGAGCCAGAGGATGGGAGACAGGGAAAAAAAAGCACACAGTGGGGCAGCCCCAGAGAAAAGATGAGGTTTGGGGTTCACCTTGAAGCTGTAGGAAGGTTAGTGGGAGGCAGAAAGGGTGAGAGAGACGCTGAGGGCCGGGAAGCAGGGCTTGTCCTGCTATGTCTAGGAATCAAATCTGGCCCATTGCATAAGCCAGTTTTCTTGGAGCCTCTCCTTGCCCACTGTTTGGCCTTGGGCTTCTTTCGTGCAACAAGGGCAAGCTGGGTGGCTATGACAAGGCCTGAGACCACACAGCCCACAAGACCAGGCCCTTTGCTGCATCTGCAAGACCTAGAGCCTCACTCTTTAACAGGAAGCCTATGAATCAGCAGAGAAGAGGCCCACCAGAGTTGGGCAACAGGAAACATGCAGACCCCATCCCGAATCTGCAGAATTGGGGGGCCAGTGATGACTGCCCTTTAAAAAGGTCTCAGGGGATTCTTCTGCACAGAAAGGCACTGGGAAGATCCAAGCCCACGCCGATGTGCAGCCATGAGAGCAGGAACACCTCCCTACCAGTGTTGGGGTATTAGTACTATAGCTCAGGTTTTGTTTTTTTGTTTTGTTTTGTTTTGATTTTGAGACAGGGTTTCTCTGCATAGCCCTTGCTGTCCTGAAATTCACTCTGTAGACCAGGCTGGCCTCAGAGATCCACCTGCCTCTGCCTCCTGAGTGCTGGGATTAAAGGTGTGCGCCACCATCCAGCTCATAGTTCAATCAACAATGACCCCAGCCATGTAGTGCAGGTCTCACGTCCAACTCCTCTTCCCTCTTAGCTTCTCAATGCCCCTGGAAGCCTTCTGACAACAGGGAGAGAGTTGAGAGTCATTAGGAAACAGAAAAAGAGCTTTCGTATAACACCACCAGTTACCGGGTACTTCCATGTGTAATAAATGGATCATCTCTAGGCCATGCCTCCAAAAGCCAATGTGTGACTGAAGAGGTTAACTGGGTGACAAGGAAGTTGAAAGACGAACACAGGACACACGCAATCCGGACCTACTCTGGACAGTTAGTGTTGGTTCTCGGGATACTTATAGGTGTGAAGCCTTACTGACGCAACTTCTTTCTCCCCTTCAAACAGCAGCTTTCCAGATTTCAGGAGAACAATTTAAAGTTCCAGGGAAACAAAGCAGTGTTCTGGACTATTCCGCCAACAGCACTCCCTCTTCTAACTCAGCATGACAGCTTCCAAGTAACTGTTTAACATTCTGCCTTCTTAAAAATCTAGAAACATTTGACAGGGTTATTTGTGGGATTCAGGGTACTTAAAAGCAACGATGGAAATACAGATAAAAATAGATGGGTGGAGAGGGGACACTCCTTTCTTATTTTTACAAGCTCAGCTTTAGTCCTGTGCATTCACGACCCAGGCAGGGGCAGTGCAGAGGTGGAGGAGTGCAGAGCTAACTTTGAGAAGTATGCATCATATAAATCTCAAGGAGAAGCAAAAGTCACGAGGGGCCGGAGAGACTGTGCAGCGATTAGGAGCACTGACTGCTCTTCTAGAAGATCCAGGTTCAACTCCTAGTATCCACGTGGCAGCTCACAACTGTCTGTAACTCCAGTTGCAGGGGATACGACACTCTCACACCAATGCACATAAAATAAAATAAAGAAATTAAAGGAAGAAAAGGCACGAGACCCATGCTAAGCAGAATTCCCATCTGACTCAATAATCAAAGTCTTTAAAGGTCTAGGGATTCGGCACACAGCTAATGGCACTTAGTCTGAGTAACATTTACAAGTGCAAACTACAAGTTTGCACTGTCTGAATATCACAGTACAGACGCTTCCATTTAACCCTGAAAGCATCAGGGCATTAACTCCATTCTATATAAGAGGAAACTAAGGCACAGAGAACTCACACCGCTTGTCAGGGGACCCGACAGCCCACTAAGAGACGGAGGTGAGATATGAGCACAGGTCTAGGTTCTCCCACAGGAGGCTCCAGCTGGGAGCCTCATTTCAGTCTGCAAACGACTCCATGTCACACCATAAGCCCCGCAGCCGCAGCCGGTTGTCAGTCACTACCTGCTTCCCAATATACTAACACCAAGGGACAAGGAGGTGCATCCAAATGAAGACACAGGCTTATCTTTTCAGAGGACAAAACACAAACAAAGCCTGGACAAAGTCTGAAACGCGCCACTTGTTAATAACGAACACATTTCTATAGACACGTTATCTTTAGGCCAGCATGTTTGTGAAGCGCTACTACAGCGAAGCTACAACAAGCGATGCCTAATGCTATCAGGGTAGCACTCCCCAGCTGGTTGTGCATGCTTATTTAAGTAATTGCCTGAACATAAATGAACAGGGTATTAAAGTAAAGTTGGCACAAGGGACAGCATCCACACGGCACATTCTTTGTTCCAGGCCCTTCATTCTGTCAGTACTCTTGGAAAAGGGAGCAGCCGCTAAATAAATCATGGGAGTACATGAGACTGCATAAGGCCTTTTATAGTCTCCAAATGGTCATGCAGCTTATATAAAGTTCATTTTCGACTTCCCCGTTTAAATGTTAGCAGTCTCAAAATAAGGTCCAGGCTATTTACCTGTAAGAAGATACAATTAGAAAATAGGGCAGGAAGAAGAAAAACCAGGCGACAGGAGAGGCGGCAGGATGGCCAAGTGTGAGGGGGTCGCCTGAACTCAAACCAGTTCAATCAGCCACTTCGGTTTTGCCGATTTAACTTTATCAATTGGGGGGTGGGGGAGACACACCCTACTGGAGGTATTTCCACAAATACAGATAAGGGAACCTGTTTGTTATTTGAAGGCAGGGGCGGCCTGTGTGATTCCGGGGTGTCGTCGGAGTGCGTGCTGTCACGCACAATTAGGGCTGCATGACACCTGGCTCTCTCTCGAGTTCGGGTGCCGAGGACAAAAGGGCCGTCCCTAGGAGCGCGCGGGCGGCCGCTCCCGGGAGCAGTGCTGCATCCCCCGGACCCCGGGTGTGTTCGCGGGAGCGGGGCTGCGTCGCTTGGAGAGGAGCTGCATTCCCTGGTGCCAGGACTGCATCCTCGGGGCGAGGCTGTGTCCCCGAGAACCGGGCTCCATCCCCGGAATCAGGCTACAACCCGGAGAATAGGGCTGCATCTTAGCGGTCAGGCAGTGTCCCCGGGAATCCCGCTGATTCCCCGGGGCTGGGTGCTTCCCCAAGAACCGGACCGCGTCCCCGGGAACCGGGCTGCATCCCGGGAGCCCAGGGCTTCCCTGGGACCGGGCTGCAGTCCCGGTGGCCACCGCCGGCAGCGCAGGATGCGGGTCGCGCACTTACCTTCCTCCTGGAACTCCAGTTTCTCCAGCATGCCGGCTTCCGCGGGTCCCGGGGCCGCCGCCAGCGCCGCCTGAGGGGGAGGAGGAGGAGGACACGGATCAGCATGGGCCGCGGCGATCCGGCTTCTCTCGCCCCGGGAGGAGGGGCCTGCGGCGGTGGCGGCGGCGGGAGCGCGCCGCGGGCCGGGGCGGAGCGCGTGTCCGCGCAGGCCCCGCCGCCGCAGGTGGGCGGCGATGGCACGCTCCGCTCTCCCCGCGCCTTTGGTACGGCCCGCGGGCCCGCGTGGGAAGCGGGAGCGGCGGTCCCAGCGCCGCGCGCGCCACGGGTATGCGCGTCCTCGGGCAGGAGTGGGTACGCGGGCACGCGCCGTGACTTCGGCGGGGGCGCACTCCCCTCTCGGGGCCCCGCGCTGGCGGCAGACCGCTCCCATACAAGGGGAGGCTGCCCGCCTGCCCGCCCGCCCGCCGAGCCGCGCTGCGCCCGAGCTTTGGCGCGCTCCTCCGTCCCTCCCCGCCCCCTGCGCGGCGCGGCGGATCTCTAAACCGGCTTCCTCTGCTCGCAGCTCGCTCCTCCCTCACCGCCGCCGCCGCAGCTTGCTGCCAAAAGTTCGCACAATTTAAATCTGGCCCCGGGCACGCCCGTCACCCTGGACTTGGGTATCTGAGACTTCCCGATGTCGCCACCGCGGGGTTGGCAGGCAGAGAGGCTGGCGGCCGCCCGCCGTCGGGAGGAGCGGCGCCCGCAGGGAGGGGCCCGAGGCTGCAGACTGCCAGCACCTGCGGGGGCCACCGACCACGGCAGGATCTTGTCATTCTTTTATTTATTTATTTATTTATTTATTTATTTATTTATTTATTTATTTATTAGGCATGCCTGGTCACGGGAGATGGCCAGTTCAGGCTATGTATCAGCTATTGCTAGCATTATTTTTTTTTTTCTCCAGATTTATTTTGGTAAAAAAAAATCAGATATAACCTTTCAAAAATTACATTAATGTTTAACATGCATTCAAATAACTTTCTTTTTTTTCCAGTTTAAATTTAGATAAGAAACGAGGTTGCTTCACAAGTCAGTTCCAGGTCCCACTCCCATTCCCTCCCCTCCTCTCGTGCCATCCCCCCAACCCCCCCTCGTTATCCCCTCATTCCCACAGGGAGGGTGAGGCCCTCCATGGGGGTGTCCATAGTGTGTCATTTCATATAGGGCAGGGCCTAGACCCTTCCCCAAGAGTTCAGGGTGAGAGTGCACCTCACATTGTTCTATGGGAGTCCAAAGTCCGTGTGTATACTCGGGATGAGTACTGATCTGCTGCCCAAGGCTCAATAGATTCCCTAGGCCTCCTCACTGACACCCAGATTCAGGGGGGTCTTGATCAGTCCCATGCTGGATTCCCAGGCTGATGCCTGGGATTCAAGAGTTAACCTTTGTCTGGTCAGCTGTTTCTGGGGGTTAAACCAGCCCAGTCTTAATCCCTTTGATCATCAGTCCTCCCTCTCTGTTACTGGCTTTCTTGAGTTCAGCTCAGTACTTAACCGGCCACTAAATGAAGTTTCTGTTTCCCAGACTCTCTGGCCATAGGATTGTAGGCTGGCACTCCCCAGATCTACGTCTAAAATCCATATATGAGAGAGTACATGCCATGTTTCTCTTTTTGTGACTGGGTTACCTCACTCAGGATGGTTTCTTCTAGTGTTATCCAGGATCTTGTCATTCTTACAAGCACTGAAGGGGAGGTGGAGACCTCTTTGAACAGCTTAGATAGGTCAATAACTAAATCTAAAGCGTCCCCTCTCAAAAAACAAAACAAAAAACGTTTTTTTTGTCATGCTTTTAGTGAAAAACTGAACACTTCTAAGTTCACAAGTTTCAGTTTCACAGCTCTCAACCAAGTACAAGGGATAAAAGGCAGATTGGAAGAGAGGGCCTGAGGTCGGGAGGAGAATGTGAGGTCGGGGATGAAGGAAGAGTTGGAGGGGAAGAGGGTGGACCGATGTGATGAAAACCCACTCTTGTGTTAGAGCTGGAGAGATGGTTCAGTGGTTAGGAGCACCCGCTGCTCTTGCAGAGCGGTTCCCAGCACCCACAGGACAACACACAACACTTGCAACTCCAGTTTCAGGAGATCTGAGCTCTTTCTGGCTTCTGCAGGTACTGCATGCCTGTGGTGCACACATAAACACGCAGGAAAAAATTTTTAAAAAAGATTTAAAAAACATTCTATGCATGTATGAAGTTCTCAGAATAAATTAAAAACATTAAAGAAGCCATACTACTTGGGAAGGAAGAAATGAAACAATTCAAATGGCACGCTATTCATGTACAAAATCCCAAAGACTGCAAACAAACCAAACTACAGCTATGAAGATCAGTGAGATCATAGGATCAACACATTACATCTGGTGTAATAAAAATAAAAATAAATGTGTGGGAGCTGACATCAAATACTGTTTTCAATCTCTGCAAAGAAAGTTAGTATGTAAAATAAACTGCACAGTATGGGTGAGGTAATCAATGAGGTGATATCAATGAGCACAGATGTTGTGGAATATTAGGCTAAGATGTGTTTCATTCATTTATGCTGTGCAATATTTGTTAATGATGCAAAGATGTGTTGCATTCTTTTATGTTGCATTTGTTTAATTCTGTGAAGCTGTGTTACTTCACCTGTCTAAAACACCTGATTGGTCTAATAAAGAGATGAACAGCCAATAGTTAGGCAGGAGAGAGGGATGGGTGGGGCTGCCAGGCAGAGAGAATAAGTAGGAGGAGGAATCTAGGATCTGGCTATAAATCAGCTATGCTAAGCTAAGACCAGGCATTCATAAGTAAGATTAGTTCTCTGTGTATTTATTTGGGAGCTGCGTGGTGGGCCCCCTAAGAGTAAAAAGAAAAAAAAAACTGCGCAGAGGCAATTGATGAGGCAGCCCACATTCTGGGGCTGGAAGGCACAGCAAAAAAGTGAGTTATCTTCCAAGGTCATCTTTGGGTTCCTTTCAATTCCTGTCAAAATCCTAGGAACTTTGCTTTGTAGACAAAGATAAGCAGTTTTTTTTTAACTCATATGGTAGGATCCTGAAATAACCTAGAATGAAGTTGGGGGAGTCATCTTCCCCAATAGTGAGGTTTACAGTAGGGGCTGGAGGGACGATTCCATGTTAGAGGCCCGTGTTCTCTCTTGGAGAGACATAACTAGTCCCCAGCACCGTCACTGGATGGTTCAATCTGTCTGCAACTCCAGCTCCAGTGGTGGCCTCTAGGGCAACTGCATTCATGCTGATCGAACCCACAGAGAGACACATAATATACATAAATAAAAAAATAATAAAAACAGGCCTGGCATGGAGGCGCAAGCCTTTAATCCCAGCACTAGGGAGGTAGAGGCAGGCAGATCTCTTGAGTTCAAGGCCAGACTGGTTTACAGATAAGTTCTAGAACAGCTAGGTCTACACCAAGAAATCCTGTCTCAAAAAACCAACCAACCAAAACAAAACACAACACATCTTTTAAACAAGCTCACAGTATAGCTTAGTAAATAGGACTATGTGATATTAGCAGAGAAACGGGTATAGTAACCAACAGCAGGCCAGAAATGCAGCCAAGCAAATGCTAAACTAAGCTTTGGTAAATTCAGGGAGGCAGCGCTCCTAACCACCAGTGGCGCACTGGTCATCAAACCTCAGAACAAACAAAAGAAAACAACCCAAACTATCCCAGTGTAAAGCTCACATATTATCCAAAAATTGGCTCAACTTGGGTCAGGGACAAAGTAAAATGTGACCCCCTTTTCCCCCATTTTTTTTTAGACAGGGTTTCTCTGTGTCTTTGGAGACTGTCCTGGAACTAGCTCTTGTAGACCAGGCTGGTCTCGAACTCAAAGAGATCTGCCTGCTTCTGCCTCCCTAGTGCTGGGATTAAAGGCATGTGTCACCAGCGACCAGCAAATGTGAACCTTTAAAAAAATGAGATGATCTTTGGGCCCTAGAATTAGACAAAGAGACTCACACCAAAAGCATTCTCCATAAAAGGGGAAAATTGATAAATCTACAAAGTGGGAGAAAATATTTGCAAACCACATAGTCAGCAAATGACTAGTGTCTTGAATATAAAAAGAATGCTAAAAACTCAGAGAGAATCTCATCAGGACACAGACAAAATGAATGAAGAGACAATTCACCAGAAAGGGGGAGGAGTGTTGTATTGCAGAGACAGCACCAAGCATGAGAGAAAGGGTCAACATCAGACTTCAGGGAACACAGATGTCACAGATCCACACCAAGACCTATACACACATGCACAGAACTAAAAATAAATCTGATTGGACAAGAATCTGGAATGAAAAGGTGTTCTGAAAACACCTTGGCAGTTTCCTATGAAGCTATGCACAACTACAAATTACACATCAGTGGTTTTCTTGAGTATGTATCCCAGGGCAACAAGAGCTATCCACGTACACAGAAAAGCTACACCAGGATGTTCAAGGCAGCTGCTCTTTTAAAAGCCTAAACGGGCAATTACAGGTGCTGTGTAATAGATGATCAGTTAAAACTCAGCAAACCATCTACACCATGGAATATTGTACACCATGGAATATTGTGCTGCAGCTTCAAAAGGTTAACCAGATGGGTAGTAGTGTCCCACGCCTTTAATCCCAGCACCTGGGAAGCAGAGACAGGCAGATCTCTGTGAGTTTGAGGCTAGCCTGGTCCACAAAGTGAGTTCCAGGACAGCCAGTACTACACACAGAAACCCTGTCTCTAAACCAAAAAGAAAAGGTCAATCAATTACATGTTGGACAAACTGGGCATGATGCTGCATACCTTTGATCTCAGTATTCAGGCGGCAGAGACAGGTGGATCTCTATAAGTTCTAGGCCAGCCTGGTCTATAAAGTGAGTTCCATGCCAGCCAGGGCCACAGTGAGACCTTGTCTGAAGTAAAACCTGGACAAGTGTCCTGGGAGTTACCCTGAGTCAAATAAAAGACATTTCTAAGGATAATATATTGTATTCATGTTATGTTCTGGGATGACAAAATTACAGAAACTGAGTACAAATTAGTGGATGCCATGGGT